CATGCGCAGGTAGGGGTCAGAATGACTCAGAATATCGTACCATGACCTATGATTAAGGATTCCCAGCGGAATCCGAAACGTCAGGACAAGAAAGCAATGTCTGCTGTCAACGACACACTGGTCATACGTACAGATAAAATTTGTACATGTGTATATGTTGCTCACTATTTTATAGTAACATATTTTGTGTTGGATATTTTATGCAGGCAGTTTTCAATAGGGTCTTCAAAGGCCTTGCCTACTACCCTAAATATACTGAACTATACAATAAAACTCCTGTTCCAGTGGCCGCATCTTCTTCTGAACTGCTTCCCGGAACTCGCATATTCAGTTCTATTGGCAACTCAAGAATAACGGAGGCTGGAGAAGGCGTAGGGAGCTGGAGTGGCCTGAGTCGCCCCCGAGTGTGCACAGTGGACATACTGCACAGAGCACACAACATGCACGCATACCTCGTGGTCCCATCGCTCGTCCTTTCTTCAAATTATATTTCTTGGGTGGCATGATTTCCAATTTATGTGCAAATTCATTGATGATTATCAGAATGCGTAGAGATGATGCCAAGGTGTTCTCACATGTTTCAAACCAGCAAGAAGATTTGAGCCTCCACTGGGCTTTAGTTGACAGTTGAAAAACTGTTTTGCCTCGGTGAGTGATCGCCAGGAGGGTGCAACCGGTTCGTCCCATAGAGTCACAACTTCAGTCCCGTAGGTGGCGACGTAGATGGCCTCCTTGGCGCCCTGTGCAGAATGGCTCCACCTGGCCGACAGCGCGCCCCATTGGTCATCAACGTATTCGCGTAAGCAGGCACGCAGGTGACTATGACGGCCGGACTTCAGGAATCTATCAGATACTTCAACCAGCAGCCCGATACGATCGCCGGGTGTTACTCCGAAAACATTGCGGCTATCCTGCAAATGGATAGAAGTAAACATGGAACAAAAGCAGAGTCATGAGAATTTCGAAGTTCAAAAGACCGATATGTACTGGAAGACGACGGAGGTGGTCGTCGTGCTTGCGGGTGGCAGTTGTGAACCTATTGGCGGTGATGATGATGTTGGTGTTGTTAGTGGCTGTGGTAGTCGTAGTGGTAGTATTGGTAATAGTGGTAGTAGTAGTGATGATGATGATGATGA